AAACTTAAGTCCAACTCTCAAAGATACAAAAAGAAATATTTCATTGTGTGATGTGATAGAGAGTATTTTTCACCGACAATAGCACAATACCCAACATCCTTTTAGTTCAAAATATGAGTTTTAGACAAACAAATACTGGCTATTGATATTAATTGTCTCATTCGTTGTTGAAAAACCTTATCTATAGAATAATGTAAGAAATATGAGGATGAGGTTACTGTTTTAGGAGTGATGTGATACTTAAGTGATGAAAATATCTATTAAATTTAGTCAACTTATCCCAAAAGAAAAAAAATAATCACATCACTTGAAGAATGTACTTTAACAAACCTGAGATTGTGATATGTAAAAATACATAAAAATGAAAAATATAATTTAAGATTTTGTTACCTTATCATTATCAGAATGCCCGTTTCGTTTTTTGTTGTATCGACGTTGTTCATTGAAAAAAGTCTGGATGTGCTTCTTTATCCCTTCCTTTCCAAAATTCAGCTCTTTTATGCCACATTCTCCCTCTATTTCTGTGGCAAATGTATCTAGCTCTGCTTTGGTGTCAGGTGAGTTAAACTTTGGGAATCCGGTCCATTTGTTAGCCGCCAATACTCCYATTCTTTTACGTCTAAATAAAATAAAATGCAATTGTTACTTGTGGGTATTATATATTTATAAGTTTGATGTGTTGAGTGTTCTKTGTCCATATGTGGCTGAAACTCTAGCACATGGCATTTGTTCTGATCCTGTTTGCATACAAATAAATAAGTTAACCAAAAGAAAAATTAGTGAAATATCTATGTTAAATCATCGATTCGCAACTTATAAATAAGTTATCAATGATTCAAATGCATTACTAGTTGAACAAACCTCGATGGAAATGGATTCTCTCACACTATAAATCAGCCTTTTTAAGACAAGACTCAGTTGCTGACATGAGACAAGATGCCATATCTGAACTGTCAGTTTTCATATATGTAGTTGACTATTTTCCGACAMAAAATCAACACAAAATAAGTAAAATAGCTTACTTTGTCAGATACAGTCTCCTAATTTCTGGATCTAGCATAGCTAACTCGGCCATTGTCGGTTTTGGAGGTGGAGACGTTTTGGCGCCAAAAGATGTYGTTSTTTGTCTTCTAAGAAAACTGAACTCTTTTTTGAAAAGCACAGCTTTACCATAATTTAAGCCAAGCCTTTCAAAGATTCCAGCACCCGCGTCTCTTTCTAACAGATCGGAAATTGCCAGCTCATTGACAACTTCTTCGCCTAGTTGTGAGAAAGAAAAATTAGTATCGAAATCGGTTAGCTAGTTGGTTAGTTTTGAGAAAGCAGTGCATGTATATACTTACGTTTGAATGCATTTAGAATTTCCTCCCCGAATAGGTCTTTAATTTTAGAGGTTAAATCTATTCCTTCGGCGTTTTCTTCTTGACTCTCAGGATCGACAATATGTCCTGCTTGTAGGTCGGCCTCCATCTTGGAATACTTTATAGGAACAGCTATGCTGTGATCTTATTAATTCTATTTGCTATCTCATTGGTTAATTTTTCCCGCCTCTTCTCATTTTTTCTAACAACAGCATTSATTGGTAGTTTTTCCCGCCGTTTTAGTCGTTGGTAATAACTGTCTCCCTATTGGCTAATAAATGCTGAGTTTGGGATTGCTGTGGTAAACAAAGATGGCGGATATACAAGAACTCTGTGAGATCGAACTGTGATATATTGAACGTCGAAATGTGGTCAAGAAAAGAAGTATCTACATGTACTTGTACAGAATTATCKTATAGACATGTTCATTGTAGGTGCTATCGCTGTAAAGGAAGAGCTGTTACGAGGAGAACAGAACTACGGCACTGGAATGAAACTCGCATATCATCTTCTTTTGACAACTTGAAAACTGACGAAGCTTTGGACCTAAGTGCATTCGAAGATAATGAAACACCTGAAGATAATGAAACGCCTGATGATAATGAAACGCCTGATATTACGATGGAAACTTCAGAAAGTATCGATGGCCAGATGAACGTTGTTCAAGATGTAAGCTTACCTGTGAATTGTGATAATGAAAATATTGACATGGAAGGTGACTTCAATCAAGGCAACCCCTACAAAAGACTTGTTGTAAAGTCTGTTCTACAAGCTATGACTATTATGGATAATAGTGGGTCTTCAATTAAAACTTTTGGTGGGCTATAGCCCATGCATTTTTGACTATTATGGATAATAGTGGGTCTTCAATTAAAACTTTTGAGGACATTTTAAGTTATGGTAAGWCAATGTTATTTACCAACCTCGACCCAGAAATTGACGGGGATATATTGGCTTCTTTATGGCCAAAATCTTGGTCAGAAGTACAATCGCTTTTAAAAGAAGAGGGTTTTACAGACCCAAAGGAATATTACATTTGCATATGTCGAGAAGAGAAATCTTTCACAAGAAATGGCAAGACAACTAAGAAGTACCAGTATTCTCGTAAGTGGGGTTTAATGGAAGGCAAAAATAAGTTATGTCCAAACTGTGGAAAATGTGGATACATAAAGTATTATTATCTTGGTTTGTAAGAAAATGCTATCACATTGGCAAGAGCGAGAGCACTGGTTAAAGAAAAACACAAGTTGGACCTTAAAAAAAGAGTTTTGGGATGGGGAAAGATGGCTGGAGTTGCAGTGGTTCTGGGACCCAGATAAATTGTGGACTGTCCCAACAAGGTGTATGGAGTGTCTCACTGTGATTTCATCAGAATCAATCAATTCTTCTTCAAAAGATATTGATGGTTTGTCATTGCTTGAATGTCCAGAATGCTTGAATACGTTTAAACACAAAGCTGAGGTAGCCAGGGGTTCTCCTTTGAATCTGGCTTTAATTGGACACTGGGATGGCTGGCAACCATTCNTGTAAGGGCTGGGTACACATAATAATGTCCATTACATTAACTGTTTTTATTGCTTGCTCTCTTTAGCATTGATTGAAAGATATGGAAGGGGTGAAGTTTGGGAGGAGGACTGCCCTAATTGTGGTAGAGAGGTAGAGCTCCACTCTGCCGGGGTGCATGTAAGAGCAAGTGGTTCCCTGAGGGTCTATAGTGATGATGAAATCTTCTTTTGCCCCAGATGTCATTATAGAGACCCTATACCATCTGGTAAGTGAGTTTATTCATTTGAATACAATTGCGTATTTTTAGTCAATCTTTATATAATATAGTTAATCATAAATGATATTCAAATAATTCCATAGATGATTACGGTTTTGAAGTTGATGAACAATTACCCCCCTCCAACCAAGATGAATGCATGGAAGTAGATGAAAATGAGACTGACACACCTCCCTCCAACGATGAAAGCATGGAAGAAGATGACACTGACGCTATTGGTAGTAAGTACAACTATTTGCATTGAATATTACATCATAATTTATACTTATTTTGCTGATATTTTGTTGTTTAGTGGACATACCTCCCCCAGCTGCTGATGAATCTTCAATTTTGGACCCTTTACCTCAAGAAGTCCACACAGCAGAACCTGCCTCAAGATTCCAAGTAATTGAAAAGGGAACCAAGAGAGGGAAGCCACTCTTAGTCGATGACATTGGGTTTACGTATAACATATCGCATAAAAAAACCATACGCTATATATTGGCAATGTACGGTGCGTCCAAGGGGAAACCACTGCAAGGCTTCTGTTGTGGAACGAGATGGAACTTTTAAACAAACGGTTAGATGCTCATGTGTATTTATTATTATTATTATTATTATTATTATTATCCTATAACCAGGGAAATAATAACAAATTAATTAGATGATTTACTGATTATCACACTTTTTAATAGAATGGTACCCATAACCATACTGTTGAAGTTGGAGCATTGACCAGTGCCAAAATAATGAAAGCTGTTAAAGAAAAGGCTTTGAAAGACAAGTACAGACCAGCATCAGCTATAATTAATGAGGTGATTTATTATAAAAATTATACTTTATGTCTCCCTTTTTCTCTAGTTAATGGTTTTATTTTCTGAACAGGTTCTACTTGAAATGCTCTCAACCACAGCTCCATGTCCTGCCCTACCAAAGGYTTCAAATATTGCTAAAGYAGTTAACAGACTACGAAAAAGTAACCGTCCAGAAGATCCAAAAGATCTSMATTTTGACCTCAACAAAGATTGCATACCAGAGGACTTCATATTCGCAGATGTCTGGGCAACACAATCACGAAGGCACCTTGTATTTTGCAC